GATTGAAAACATTAGAATCTATATCTCTTTGAATCCTTTGAACTGATGGTGCTATTTTTTGAGCCGATGGTGGTATTTGTCCTGATGTACCAAAATTAACCATCTGATTCTGAACTAGCCCTATCGACTGTTGCACATGCTGCACTGATGATCCAGGATTATAATGCATTTGATTAGTAGTAGCACCCTAAATTTACCCTTTTGGTGGTATTTGGCCTGGGCATCATTACTCTTAGCTAGTGCTGCTTCTTGATGGCTAGTACCGGCTTGATTAGTCCCCTGAGTCGACGAATGTGGAATATTGTAATAAGCCGGTCCAACCTAATCAAGTGAAAATCCATGAAACACCTTCTTCATGGTATTGTGGAATGTATTCAAGAAAGCTGTATTATGATTCAACATTGCATCATGAACAGATTTGTTGATAGCTTCTACAAAGAAACACATATCATCAGTTTTGTCTGTATCTGACTGTTCATGCATCAAAACTCTCGATAGTGGATATTTCTGAATAACTTTATTATCACATGTTTTGGTGTATGACAACAAATACTTATTCTGAAACTCCTCTATAGCCTTACCAATGATATCTTTATCCTCATCAGGTAAGTCTTCATAAGGTAACATAAGAATGTTCTTGTTGTTGTGAACCACCATGACGATTGCGGTCCCACCGAGCGTGCCAAAAAGTGTGTTGACATAAAAATATGGCAATGTGATCAACACACAGCAAGCTAGAAGATCTGAGTGGAACAAGACCAGAGATCTGCTTGGCTTCAACACAAAACCTGCCGATTCTGAAAACCCAACGACGTGCCAGCCAATTTGACCTGTAATTGATAAGGAGAGAAAATCTTATCAGTAATTTAAGGTGGAACATGTCGGTGTTGCACCGAACAGTTCCAAATGTACGGCTAGATAGCCGATTCAATGAGGCTATCGACTATATAGTCGATATCCAACGTATCCATGAAATGAAGATCTTTAAATCAAGGATCATTAGATAATATTAAATGATAACGATACGAATCAAAATAACCAATGCTCATAGAACATCAGAAAGCATCATCGGCTAAATGGAATATGATCGATATAAAGCGTCGAATCGATAAGTTTGATGAAAAGAGTATAACATACGAATAAATCGACTGTCTAATATAAATGAATCTACAAATAATTTGAATCTAATCTATTATCATCAACAGTGAGGTTCAATCGGATCGATGCAGCTATGATAATGATAACAAACTAAAGCCAAAGAATCTATAAAACCATCTATATATTGACAGATTCATTAAAACATGCTACATGTGTGAGAGTATAGGCAAATCGGCTAAAATAGCCGATGCAGTCATAGCAAACAAACAGAGTACATATCTTGATCATGAACAAGACCACTAATCGATAATTTCTAGTCTAAAGTCTTACTAGTGAGGTTCGACCAGATCGATGCAGCTATGGTAGTGTCATTAGATTAGATCTCATTAACTAGTGAGTTTATTCAAGATTGAAACATGTCTTTGGATGCATACTATGTTTGACTGGAATAGAGATAAAACAAACGATCTAGCAGAATTAAGCCATCAATTATAAAATTTTAAACGTGACCAGATCAAAGGACGACCAATTAAGATGGTATGATGCCGATCTACCTCTATCTCAATTGGGTGATTTTGTTATAGTTAATAAAACATTAATTATAGCAAGATCGATAACCGGTGAATCAACCAAAATTAGCAAGGAAAATCTTACTAATCTTAGCAGATTCGATAACTGGTGATATTGTATTAAACAACAGGTTATTTAACACAAGATCAATAACTTTGATCTATATTATGAGTCGTAAGAGATCAATCAGCTGATGCAGCCTTACAAACTATGATACAAATCGATAACTAACTTATATTATGGCTCATAAAAGATCAATCAGCTGATGCAGCTTTACAAGCACAATACAAGTCGTGACGGTACTCACAAGCAAGCTGAGGGTCGATCTGTCGATGCAGCCCTGTTTGCTGAAGATCTCGTCGAGATCTACAGTACTCCTACTCCTAATGCGATGGCGAAAGCTGGAAATATTATATTGATTGAGTGTTTGTCCTTTTTACAGTAACCAGGGTCTAATATTTATGCCCGGAACCTAAACATGAATCCTACTAAAATATGACTCATTACAATTCTTGAAATAAAAGAAAACTTCCTAACTTAATAATAACCTGGACCCCAATTTTCCTTATTTGTAGAGTCCGACACATCTTCCTGGTGCCACTCAAGTATAGCCCATTAACGCCATCTGCTAACGTCATCCATAAAATAGCCGATTCTGACATCACATCTAAATCAGCTGATACTGATTCACATCTAATCGATTCCTTGATGACATAATCCTAGAAGCTTTGAGTTCTCATATTCTTCTTCCCAAATATTGGTGTAAACAATATGATCACCAACAAAGGTCTAGGGGTTTAAACTAATAAATTACACGAGTTTTGGTGAATTTGTATTTCTGTAGGGTTTAAACAGAAAACCATCAAGGTGGACCTACATGTTAGATTTAATTGCGCTTATCCACTGCGAAATGGACACTAGAAGGTTTTAGAGGACACCAGAGGACACCACGCCGAGACAGAGAGGCAGAGGCTGCCAGGTGGGGCTGGCTGGCCCCACCTGCAAGCCGCTCGGCCCCTAGGGCCCACTATCAGCCTTCGTGTCTCAATGTCGGTTCTCCACCGCCTCCTAGGTTGCATCTACGCCGTTCCTTAAGTTGGTTTGATCCAAGGGCTCACGTTGGACGCTCCGGCCTATATATATCAGCCCCTGCCACCCCCAGGCATAACTCCGATCATCAAGTCATTTAAGAAGACAGAAACCCTAATCATTCTTAGAGCTCCACCATATTATAGGGCATAGCTAGTTAGGTTAGATCTAGAGGGAGGCAAGCAGGCTTCGCTTGGATTCCTGATTGTGTCAAGAGAGTGGTTTGGTATAGTCCTTGTACCTCCTCTCTTTTGTATCTCCATTATTTTTATATGCTTGCTATAATTGTTATGACAATATTAGTATTCATCTTATTCATGTTCTTTGTTATAATATTCATCGTCTACTTTGATTATATACTTAGTATAGCTAGTTTATCATTATGTTTATGCATAAGTTCGTATAGCGCTCGCTCCAAAGTACATGGGGTGAGTGGTCGATATTGTGTAAGCGTGGTGCTTATATGTTGTTTACTTGTGGATACACCCTATATTCCGGGCCATGTGGTAGATCATGGATGTGACACTCTCGTTGAGTCATTTGTAGTCCACCCCCGAATATAGGTATACAAGTAGGATCTAGTTACGAAGGAAGACAAGCTCTGTTCTTAATCTTCCTTAGTAATATCCCTTATGTGTAGATATAAAGATGATCTTAGCCATGATTACTAGGTGTAATTGCAATAATCAATGTATGCTTTGACTTGTAATTAAGAATGATTTAGGAATTATTACTCTAATATTCTGTCTGACCATGCTAATGTCATAGAAAGGAGTATTCTGAGTGATTTATCATTATCATTGATCAATACTTATCTCTTATCCTATGACTTATCCCTGTTATGAATAGAATATTTGTTATGGTTTACTTCTCCATCAATAGTATAAGTTATCAATACTTGTCCATACTAGACCTTCCCTGTGGTAAAATATAAATAATGATACCTAGAATACTCTCGGGTGAAGTACAACAATGGTATAATTATCTATGTGCTTGCAGATTCCTTTTCATTCATATATCTTTATATTCTTTCTAATCACGTAACATGATAAAGAACTACTTAGTATCATTCTAGTAGTGATGCTAGACAGTACCAACAAACATTTCTGGCACCATCACTAGGGATGACAACCTAGTAAAGTAATGTTAGGAGATATAGGTAATTAATATGTGGCTACTAAAATAAGTGACAAGTTAATAAATACCAACAGACACGGTTTGTAGGCCGACGGAATTGGGAGGACTTGGGATTTTCGATCTCAGGCTGACTGGTACGCACTGCAGACTCGCTAGTTATGGCTACAAAAGACCGATGACTCACGCGCTTGGAGCGAGCTGTCGATCAGCACAGAACCGCAGGCCAGAGAGTTCTTCCGAGCATCCATGTTCATGATCCTGGGTGATGGCACAGTGGCTCAATTCCGTTCCGGGGACATTCGCTCATCTGGAAGACATGGGCGCCACTAAAAGTGAAGATCTTCCTATGCTTGCGTTCAAGCGACGCCACTGGACGAACGATCGACACACAAGGCATGGGTTGGAGGCTAAAGAGGAGTGCTATCTCTGTGATCAGGCTCCGGAGACAATCGACCACATCCAATGCAGTTTCCCTCACGCACGAGAGGTGTGGTTCAACATCTGCCGCACCCTCGGTAGGCCATTGCCACCGGTGGCTGGTTCCCTGCTGGCCTGGTGGAGGAGCATGCGAAGAAGTTGGCAGGGCCAACAGAGGAAGGGCATGGACTCCTAGTTGCACTGACCTGCTGGCAACTATGGAAGGAGAGAAACGCCCGATGCTTCAGGGAGGCCTCGACCACAGTACCTGATCTTCTAAGCATCATCAAGGCGGAAGCGGATCAATGGGTCAAGGCGGGCGCTATCAACCTAAGGAGTTTAGCTTCGGGGGGGGGGGGGGGGGGGGTAACCCGCCGAGTTTTCATTGTAATCTTAGTTTCTTTCTGCAACCGGTCCTGGGCTGGTCTCTTGTAGATGCAGACCTTTTCCTTCTTAATGCAATGATACGCAACACTCTTGTGTATTAGAGAAAAAAGGTAGTAGCTTTAGGGCGTTGCTTCAAAACAGGCAAATTGAAGGCCTTGTATGGGATAGTGACTGATGATCCCTGTCGAGTTTTACGCAAACACCTTATGATCTCCACGTGTAAAATCAATTTGGCAATGAATGGAGGGCCCCTTGTTGATTTGGATGGCAACTTTGTTGGCATGAACTTTTGTTCTAAGGAGATGGCTCCATTCCTACCAATGGACAAAATTTACATCTGCATGGAGGTGATAGCACAATTGAAAGAAGCCCATGTGAGATACAGGAATGTCTTATGCCCAATGTAGAAGGTATCTCATGTGGGGAGAGGGACAAGAATCAGGAGCTTTCCATATCTTCTACTAGTTATTCAAAAGATTTTGAGGAGGAGGAACTCTGGCGCTTCCTTGATCCTAATCCCTTGTTGGTTGATGATTTCACGCAGCTTGTGAGAAATGATCTAAAGTCCCATAGTTATCCTATGCCCATTAGGCTTGAGGGGGGTATGCGCTTGATTAATACTTTTGAAGAGGAATTTATTGAAGATACATGGATCAAACTCAGTAAGAAGGTTGCTTCAGGTATATCCCGAAGTGTTGCTTCATTCAAAGGAGAAGAAAGGTTTGTCGCTTGCACTGGTATATTTGTAGACTCCAATGAATCCACCTCAAGAGTTTTGACTTCAGCAAGTTTGGTTAGAACTTGTGCTGATGAATACAAGATTGCTGATAACTTAAGGATTAAAGTGTACCTTCCAAATAAGCAAGTTGCTGAAGGGACATTGCAACATTACAATTTGAGTTATAATATTGCTCTGGTCAGTGTCTTGGGTTTCCGTTGTCTTCAAACCGCAGAACTCCACAATCAGAGGCAAATTGAACCCCATATGGAGGTAGTAGCTGTAGGACGCATCTTTGAATCAGGCAAATTAATGGCCGCAAGTGAGATAGTGGCTGACAAAGAAGGTAATCTCGACTGCAAAGAGCTTATGATCTCCACTTGTAAAGTCACAAAGGCCGGTATTGGAGGGACCCTGATTGATTTTGATGGGAATTTCATTGGCATGAACTTCCATGGTATGGAAGAAACACATTATCTACCAAGGTCTATGGTTCTGGAATTATTGAGGCATTTTGAAGGGTCTGATGATGCTGATGAGGCTAGTTACAAGAAGCCGAACAGATGGCCTGTGCCTGAACCACGTTGGTCCTATCCTCGCAGCAGGGCACCACGGGCCTGGACTATCGATGGCGTGTACGATTTCCTTGAAATCTTGCTTTAATGCATCTCTCAGTCCCGAACCTCCATTTTTTTTGATAAAACCGAACCTCCAAATTTGCCAATGGCTTATGTAATTTGAGCTACTGGATTCTTTAGTTTATGATCTCCATGCATGCACCTACCTGATAGCAAACCTGGCTGGTAGCAAACCTGTTATAGCACTGACTATAACACGTCCATATGCGTGCATTTTCTTTTTTTGAAGGTCATATGCGTGCATTTTAAAGGACTAAACAATTGTTTCAACGATGGGTAAAAAATCGAGCAGACGAGTCATGAACCTTACTGACTAGAACTAATCTATTATAAACGTACAGCCCTCTCGCCTCTCGGTATGAAACTTGAACTTCGTCGTCACTGCTCACCAGTGCACACCTTTTTTTTTTGACGCGAGGAACCTTCCCCATTTCCATTGATATCAACGGAAATACGACAGTTTAGAGCAAAGTAAGAGCGTTTAAGAGGATAAAACTACTACCCGTACATAACGCCTGCCTCAGACGAAATACAAAATTACAAGTAGAGTAAAGACAACGAACAAAAAGGAGGGCCATACTTCCTACAGACCCTTTCCTAGCACATGAGCAGTTTAATGAAAACATTAAAGCTATCAAAACATGCAGCCACCGTTCACGGGCTCCTGGATCGCCACATAGGCTTCAATCATCTTGATCATCGTTCTGATCATCGTCCTTCAGCAAAAGTCGTCCTTGCTTTGCCTTCTTCTTAGTCGTCAGCCTCACCGCGATTGCCAGCATGGTGTTGACGTCTGCCTCCAGTGCTTCTCTGTCAGCTCCTAGAAACAAACCTGTCCAGTAACCCATGAGCGCACACGACATACAATCGTAGCAGGGTTTGTCACAACTTTGCCTTCAAAACACACATAATTTCGTGTCTTCCAAATGATCCAGCATATAGCAGCAATACCCGGAGTGTGGAACTGCTTGCCAGCAGGTAGCTAACGCTCACACCAGGACCAGCACTGATTAAGAGACTTGGGAATGTTCTTGGCCCCAATGGAATGAGCCACAATGGCCTAGACAACCTTTTTTTTTGTTGTAATTTGGCATTTTTTTGAACAAAATTTACATTTACCCCTCTGGGCGACGTAAACTGATGTTTGGACCCTGAGGGTCGGCACCGTGACCGTGATATACGGCACCGAGGTAACACGTCTCGACGCCGTAAGTCTTGGGGCCGAGGTGCGTGGCCGGGGACCGCGGGGCAGCAGCGGTGGCGCTGACGTGTCTTAGACAACCTTAGAAGTGCTGCACTGGACCAATAGATGTTGAGAACTCTCATCTTCACTACAGAAATAGCAGGTGGGGCTCCCAGGCCACTTCCTTCTAATCATGTTATCTTTAGTTAGGATTGCATTATTCATGATAAGCCACAAGAAGATTTTGATTTTAGAGGGAATTTTCCCTTCCAAATCATTTTATGATAAGGCCCAACATCATTACTAGTCATGGTCTTGTATGTTGACTTAACACTAAAGTGACCATTAGCACCAAAGCGCCAGTGCACCACATCTTTCTCAGCATTCAGCTGAACATAAGCTACATCCCTCATTATGTGACCCCAGTTATGCCTAAGATCATCAACCAGCCATCTGGTAAAGGTCACCCCATTAGGATTCAGTTTCACCTGACACACTATTGCATCAGGTTGTTCACAGAGCTTGAACAGATCAGGAAAGAGTAAGCATATAGGTTTATCATAAATCCAAGAGTATTTCCAGAAGAGGGTGGTATTCTTCCCATCTCCAATTTTCACTTGTCTACCATCTCTGATTTTTAGAAGATCAGACCACATGTCAGAATCGGTTTGCCTGTGATTCACCAGTGCACACCTGCTCCTCGCCGTCGTTTGTCTCATCCATGGCTTCGACCACACCGCTAGTCCTGACCATGGCCGTCCTCTACTTCGCGTCCGACACCGTCTCCGTCCAGTCCGCCATCTCGGGCGGCCAGACCGTCCTGTCGAAACTCGAAAGGCGGAAGCTTTGAGCTCGGCTTCTTCCGCCCTGCCGGTGCCACTGCCACCACCACGTCCTCTCGCGGCAACTACTACGTGGGCATCTGGTGCAAGAAGAATAGCTATACTTTTATATAATAAATTTTATAAATAACATAACTTATTCACATAATTCTTTTGTTGTTCAACGTCTTTCAAAAAAGTTATACGGAGTACACAACTTATCCAACACATTTTTTGCATAATTTGTTTAAGATAAACTACTCAACCTAGAAAACTTTATTCATAGTATATAGAAGAAAAATAAATACAACTAAAAATAACAAAGTGTCGACATTTTTAGTGCGACAAAATTTCGTCTCACCTTCGTCCTGCCGGCCCGTGCGATCCCACGCCACCCCCGCTCCCCGACCCTTTCCTTGGAAATTCGCCTCCAATCACGCTCGACATACCGTGGCCTCCATCACGCTCTTGGTCCCTCTCTCGCCCACGCTGCCGTCTCCTCTCCGTGCGCTGTCGACCTCGCTTGTCGTTCGTCGGATTGAGGTTGCCGCGACAAGCTCTGCCTCCTCTTCCTCCCTACCGTGCCGCCGCCGCCTCCGACGGAGCTCGACCTCGCTATTCGCAGTTCAAACGCACGGCGCCGACAGGTGGGACCTCCTCCCCGCGACTCCAAATCTCCGCTCCAAAACATTCCTTTCCAGTCGCGATATCTCCTCTCCACCGATCGCTAGAGGTCGCGCTGCCATCAGGAGTAGGCAGGTCGATCCCATCGCGCCGCCATTGCCCTCCGGCCTCGCTCCTCTGCCATCGCCGTCGCCCGGCAGCCTCACCGCGGCCTCCCTCGCCAAGCCCCCGGCGACCCAGTCAGCCAGGGCATCGACGGTTCCAGACGTCGTCCCCCCTGCCTCCCCTCCCACGCCAAGGATGGATCCAGATGAGGCAGCCCGACTGGTGAGCAGACTGTCGATCGTCGCCCTCGGCTGATCCGGCGACGAGGCGGACCGGATAGGGTGGAGGCGCTCGCCCTCGGTGGATCCGACGAGGAGGCATCCTAGCCTAGGTGGAGGCCGAGGGTTCAGGTGAGGAGGCACCATGGGCGGAGGCAGGTGAGGGTGAGCACCTTCTTCGCCGCTCCCCTGTCTCCGCACACGCTGACACGTCTCTCACGGTGCGGCAGTGGCGAGCTCGGCTACGGTACAGCAGCAGTAGTGGATGTCACTTAGTTGCATTCGGTGTGAACTCGTCCTCCTCTTCGGTTGAAGTGCTGGTCGCCAGCTAGCACCGTCATCGTCACCGGATCTCGGTAATCATTCCCTTTATCTGTAGTGTTTGCTACTGCATCCTGCAAATTTTCTGGAAAATCATCATCACTTGCTTGGGGCAGGAGGTGTGCTATCACAGTTCGCAGGTGGGCAGATGCAGCTGGGTAGATGAGGCAGACCTTAAGAGCACGTGTCATTGGTATAGTTGTGCATGTATCTAATATTCGAGGAAGGGATGACGTGCGGATACGACCGTACAGATATGTGGTGCTGATAAATGAAAGGCATTTAGATTAAAATTTTTATCATTGTTCATGCTATTAATTTTTTATTATTTGATACTAATCAATTTTGTAACTTGTAGGTACCACTGAATCATAATAACCGTCAAGAATACACACATATGCCGTCACTTATCGGAATGGCGGTGAGCGGCATCAGAGTTGCGCATTTTAGCTGGTCTCCATGTACAAATGAATAGAAAAAGAACTATTATATCACTGATGTCCTCGTATGTATTGACTAAATAAAGTATTAGTTATTATATATTTTTTTGCTCGTGCATGATAGGCAGAGTGACCACTACCGACTATTTTAGCGAATTGGTATTCAATCCTATTTGTAATCAGGCGCATGATTTTCAAAACGAGATTCTTTTAGGGTAATTCATTGATTTAATTTATAACTACAACACTGACCTAAAAGTTTTTTATTTGTTTATAGGCCTACGCAACCGTCTGCTTGTTGATCAAGCCAGACGTCGTCGAGTTCAAAAATTTGCTAAGGACACCGTGTCGTGTCTCATAGATTTAGAGAACTAAATAATATTGAAATTATTTACATGCTTGTGACATGCACTTTGAATAGATGATAAACATGAATTTAGTTTAATATAATAGTCATTTTGTGCATTTTCGTTGGTCAAACAGGTTCAAAATATGTGGATTGAGCAATGTTTGTCTGACATATTTGATTGCTTCATTTAGTTTGTAATATCGGAGACTTCTTGTCGATATAAAACATTATTTTAGCCGTGTAATAGAAAGATCTATATAGTAGAGTTTGTGAGCCTGCAGTGTTGTGCTCCTAGTGATGGTTAATTTCACAAACTTTGCTTTTTAGAATTAAATGTCAATTTAATGTCTTACAGTATTGTTATTTTATCGTGCGATCTATGTGTTTTTAGTACAAAAATTTAGTTGTCCTATAACAATGTACGGATATGCTACCTAGTAAAAATAAGAAAGAAGAGAAATAAGAGCAGAGAAACGGGACGGACCTATCAGATTGGATACCACGGCCGTGGAATCATTGTAGAAAAGTTTTGTTTCAAAGGTAATGTACAAAAGTTATCAGGATAATTTGTCTATAAAATTGTATCAAAAATATATTGAAAAAGTTATGATTAGAAGTTACAGACTTACAATGATAGGCTATGCCCTGTAAAATGCTATGGACAAAAGTTATGAATATAACTGTATAACTTTTCAAATTAAATAGAGGCGGAAATGGAACCAATTGTTTTCAAAAGGGAGGGTCTACTTAGCAATAGTGTTTTTTGAGATTCTGACACTCGGTTGTTGGGCCAGGCACAAACACCCCATAAGACAGACTACCGCAAAGTGAGTGTTACAGCAACCATAAACGCACGATTTTGCAACCATAAACACTCGATTATCATGACCGTAGAATCCAGATCAAATGAACCAAATAAAACTTATAAAAATAATGCAAAAATATTAAATAAACAAACCAAAAA